TGTACCAACTGGCAACTCATCGATTAGTAGTCATGTTTTCAGTTTTGCCAATTCTGTTTCACGGTGAAACTTTCACCCCTTGTCACATAGTATCCTTCAAAGGATACATAAAAGATCTTGTATGTTTCTCTCCTTTCTCTAACTCAGTGTCGGTGACAATTTCGCATCATGGATATTTTTATTTTTTAATTATCTTGACTACTTTCACCTTTCGGCATCCTCAGGAGGTACTGAAAACATACAATATTTAGTAAAACACACATTTAAAATAGATATTAAGTGCATACTCATCAAATTATACATAAAAAGGTCATCTAAGATATTAATTCTATTATTTCAAAATTTAAAATGTTTAAAGGACTGGTTGGCGATGCTGACATGTATTAGTGTTGCCCTGGGGAAAATTTAATGGTCATGCTACAAATCTATCCTAAATTGACCAACTGTTTCTACTTTCAACTTTGAATAGGTAATTGGAATTCTACAAAAAAAAACTTAATTTTATTATAAAAAATATTTTTAAACTTACATGTCAAAATCACTCCTTACAACCATAGAATAAAAATACATCACTTGTCAATGTTTTCAAGTTTTCATATAAATTTTTAGTGTACAAATTACCATTTTAAAGTGCCTAAGAATAAATAACTTTTTAAATTTTGTTGCTTAAACTACTATACTGTACACAGAGAAAAATTTTCACATAACTGGTCGTTGGTTATTTGTTAGCTTCGTAAACTGATGTGAAATTACATAGATTGTGTAACTTAAACATATCTATGTTTTTTTACATAAAATATGTGATTTATGTTTACACAAAATTTGTAAATAATTCATAATTGTTTAAAATGTACATGACAGATGTAATTTATATTTACACTTTTGTGTAAATTTTATACATATATAATGTATTTTACTTACATGCATGTAATATGTAATTTTTTCAAAATTGTGTAATTGTATTCTATAGAATCATACTACAAAATATTGGGTTTATTTAACTTTTGCAATTAAATAAATTCAATATTGTGTGCTAAAACTCTAATACTAAAACTGCATGCAGTTTCAGTATTAGAGTTTTAGTACAAAATATTGAATTTATTTAATTGCAGAAGTTAAATAAACCCAAAATTTTGTAATACCTATTGCAGTTTGAATTTTTTGAAAATACCTATATACAGGTATTTAAAAAAAAACTGTATACACAAAAAATAGACAATTTTTTAAGTTTAAATACTACATTTTAAAAGATAACTTTTAAATTGTTAGAACTTTTAGGGATATCTATTTCTAAATAAAATAAAATTGTAAGTTAACAATAGTTGTATATTTAAAACAATAATAAATTAACATTTTTTAAATACAAATATATAGTACATATAACAAATATATATAACAAATTTATATAAAAATTAATAGAAATTAAGATTTATTTTAATAATATTAATAATAATAATAATAATTTATTTTCAAATAATTGTTTACAGTTTACACACATATACAATTATGGAAAAAAAATGTCAAAAGCAAAGGATAAATGCATTGATAAACTAACAATTGTATCAATTATTCATTGATCTATTTTGAAATTCTTCTAAACTATATGGTTCTATATTTAATAAATAAATAAATATTATTTATTAACAAATCTTTAAGCTTTTTTTTAAATATTGACAATTTTGTTTCAATCTGAAGGCATTTTGGCAAATGATTAAAACATTTTATACATGCATAGTAACAACCTTTCTCATACTGACTCAAACGGTGGCGTGGAAATATTAGATTTTGGGTACGTTGCGAAGACATACCTACCTATTTAATCTAAAATCTAACCTATTATTATTTGTTCTAATAAATAATATTTATTCAATAAAAAATATTTGGATCTGAAAAAAAAGTAAAATTAGCCTATAATAAAATATTTCTTTAAACTAAAATTATTGCTTAAACTAGATATTAATTTGTAAACACGTGCATTTTTACCACTTGACATCAAAGCACCAAATATTTTGTTTTTACTGGATAGATGTTTAATATACTATAGTATTGGAATTAAACTTATTTAAATAAAATAATATAACTTATGAATAGGCAATTCTTTAAATAAAATTAAGTAAAATATATCAATTAATATTGGGAAAATCTCATTTTATTGATGGCATCATAGTTTCTTCTTTTATGCTCCTTATTTATAATTAATATACTTACCAAATAATACGAAAAAACAACTATAAACACTACACGACGCGTCCTAACTCAGCCAACAAAATGTTCGTTTCGTTTACATACGCTTGTGCCGCATCGCGTGACTTAATGCTCAAATCCTATTGGTTAATATTTACATGAAATGTGTAAATGTGACCTATAATATGTAATATTTAATATTTTTATGTAGAATTTACTTTTAAATGTAAATTTTACATAGTACTTTTAAAATTTTATAAAATTCACATTATATGTTATGTACTTTTATAAGAATATGTAAATTTACATTTTTTATCTAATTTTACACATATATCTTCTTAAAAACACAAAAATATGTACTTTTACCAAAAATTTGTAATTTTTTACTACTTCAGTTAGTGTGAAAGTTGTGTAAAATTACATACATTTTTCTCAGTGTATATACATCTATAGATGTATATACACTGAGAAAAATGTATACAGGCATCCCAGATCGAACTTTGTTTGCATTTAAGAAAAATCGCTTTTTCCTAATGAAAAATGTGAACCAAACCTTACCAATTTGATGTTTAAAGTGCGACGTTGCCACACATTTTCGATCTGGTGAGCTTCGAAGGTCATGTAAATTTTCGATCTGGCGAGATTCGATCTATTGAGTTTCGATGCAACGAGCTGTTCCCTTCGTAAAATGACTGAAAATTCTGCAAATCGACTGATTTTTCTGCACGTTGGTAACATTCTTAATTAAAACCAATTATAATAACAAATAACATAAACCAATCCAAAAATCCAATGTAAAATAATTTAAAACGACAGTTTTCGCAGGCAGATTTATCATTTTGCATTGTTTTCTTTAATATTTCACTACAATAAAACTTGTGTACATACTTTATATCACTCATGTCCTTTGTTTAAAATTAGGTACTATAAATAGTATACAAAAGATTGTAAAATAAAAATACTTTTTCTAGGTTAAGTAACTATTTAGGGGAAATACATGCTAACAAGTAACAGTTACTTCGTAGAGCTCTTTATTAATTAAATACAATTTTAAATACAAATAACTAGAGGTCTCTGACTACTTCACTTCGATGTCATCTGGGTTACCGTACTTCAGTGTTGCCAATGTACGTGGAAATCCACGCATTGTGTGGAATTTATTTTGTTGTGTGTGTAATACATAAATGTGTGGAATTTGCGTGTAAACTTTATCTTTAAATTTACAATGCTTATAATAAGCATTTAAATAGATATATTGACAAATGCGCATTTTAGTTATAACAATAGACTTTTTGACAAAGTTTTTGAAAACGTCTTTAAGTAATCACCAGTAATTACCGCAGAAAGAGTTTTTGTGGTGATTCACCTCAGAAACTCTTTCTGCGGTAATCACCAAAGAAACCTAACAAAACCAAAATCCCAAATGTGTGGAATAGTTGGCGAAATTGTGGAATTTTGACAGAATCTGTGTGTAAATTATGTCAACACCATTGGCATAGAAATAGTGTTATTTCTATGACCATTGGTAACTGCCGTACTTTGCAGTGACATGCTTGTGCAAAGTTTACACAAGCATGTCACTAAAATTGGTTTTATTTAATTAAATTAGGAAAAAGGTTTTTTTTTAAGCTACAGGATAAGAATTCTGCAATCCGAGGGGTTTAAACAAAAGAAATCTGCAAGTCTGCAATGAGTCAAAATTAACCCTAAAATTCTGCACTTTGCAGAAAAATCTGCATTTCTGGCAACACTGAGTGTATATATCAGAACATACATAAGCTTTGTTATCTATGATAAACTTTGACTTTGAATACTTCAGAGAGGTATTGAGAACTTGACCTGTTGAGAAGTATTCAGCACCTTAAATTTCCTATATCAAATTCCTATTCATCACAAAATATTCAAAGACTATAAAGGTATACCTTTATAGTCTTTGAATATTTTGTGATGAATAGGAATAGGAATTTTTATAAAAACGTCTATGTAAGATAGAATGAATAATATTTATCAGCACGAGATTTGAATGCTTGGCTCAGGTGTAGAAATTAAAACATACATAAACTTTGACTGCAAATACTTTAAAGAGGTATTGAGAAACTTAACCTGTAGAGAAGTATTCAGCTCCTTGAATTTTGTATATCAGATTTTTATTCATCACAAAATATTCAATGACTATGAAGGTAAAAACGTCAACAAAGTATAAGAGCCGAAAAGTATTCGGACACATGAGCTGCAAATATAAAAGGTCAAATCTTGAATAGAACCAGATTCAGGTCCATAGAACTTGAATACAGCCAATATTTTTTCATTTGCAGTGTATATCCAATGGTTATCCATTGGATATCCCGGATATCCTTTGTATATCCTGGATATCCATAAAAGAAATCCATTGGATGTAATTGTTCCGTGTGGGCCCATACTCGTACTCAAATTAGTTTTTCATATTTAGGGGATTCGTTTTGTAGGTAGATAAATGCGGTTTCAATGAAATAAACTACATACTTTTATTGACTAAAGAAATTATATTCTCTTGTAACTTATGTGACAAGTCATCAAAATTATGTACTGCTAGACGTAGATCTAATAAGATCCATACTTTGATATGACAAATTTAACTTATTTGATGAATATAGGATTTTTGGATATTTGATATTCAAAAAGCACAAGTTATCTGAGATATACCCAAATAAGGAGATCATTTTTAATAGACAGTAAGGTAGCAAATTTTAAAAACACCACCAGGTATTGGATTTGTGTTAAGGTTATCTATTTATGGCAACCTAAAAAGAAATGAAAACACATGTACTTATAAAAAGGTTTATTTCTTAAAATAATGTTATGTACAGTCCAAGTAATCTAAAAATATTTTCATTAATATTTTAATAAACAGGGTACATACGTAACATTATGTACCTATATTTACAGTCCTTGTTTTGTTGTTGATAAAATTAAATAATAAACTTAATATAATTACAGTTTAAAAAACTTAAATTAATATGCACAAAATAACAATATTTTATTCATAAAATTGCTAACCCCTTTTTTGTTTTTTAACTGGTTCTATTTCTTCCTTATTTACTTTTATTGACCTCTTTTTGGCTGCCCTTTCTGCTTTTTTCTCTACTGGAGTCTTCTTAAGTCCCTTCATTTTACGGGTTTGTAATTTGTTTATTTCTTGTTTGCCAACATGGATTGTGCTATGAGTGGTTCCCAGCTTATCTGTGCTGATATTCTTCTTTTTGATGACCTTCAATTCCCTAGGTTTGCGGCATGCTTCCTTTATTAAATCTTCAGTTGGTAGCCTAGTGCGTCTGAGTGCAAAATCTACACGAGGACCTGAAAAATTATATAAGTTTAGTCAAAAATAAATAACTAATTTTCCATAAACACAGTAATAAAATTAACCAACATTCACAAAAAAAAAGTAAAAATTTTTGGAATTAAAAATAATTTTTTGTAGTATAAGCAAACCTGCTATGCTCCACACCCAAAAGGACTCCACAAAAGATAATATATTTTTACGTTTACATGTTACTTTTTTGGGCCCTAATTTAGGAGTTTTATAGACCAAAATGCATATAGCACTGCAAAAACAGCTATTTTTAGTAAAGAAGATGAAATTGGCATTAAACTGACAGATGTATATATTATACATTGTATAACTCAATTATGGAGCTGCGTTTCTCAGTGGAGTGCCAAAGTGGGCGTTTTGGGTGTGGATACCCTGGTGGAAATGATTCTACAACATTCTACAACATTTAACGCGAAAACTACAACTTTCTACAATTTTTTACAACTTTTTGTATTGTTGTAGAGAGTTGTAAAGACTTGTTATTTATTACAAATTTTTACAACATTTTACAACAATAATTCTACAACATTCTACAACATTTAACGTGAAAACTACAATTTTCTACAATTTTTTACAACTTTTCGTTGTTGTAAAGAGTTGTAATTTATAACAAATTTCTACAACATTCAACGAAAATTATTCTACAACATTCTACAACATTTAACGCGAAAACTACAACTTTCTACAATTTTTTACAACTTTTCGTTGTTGTAAAGAGTTGTAATTTATAACAAATTTCTACAACATTCAACGAAAATTATTCTACAACGTTCTACAACATTTAACGTGAAAACTACAACTTTCTACAATTTTTTACAACTTTTCGTTGTTGTAAAGAGTTGTAATTTATAACAAATTTCTACAACATTCAATGAAAATAATTCTACAACATTCTACAACATTTAACGCGAAAACTACAATTTTCTACAATTTTTTACAACTTTTCGTTGTTGTAAAGAGTTGTAATTTATAACAAATTTCTACAACATTCAACGAAAATTATTCTACAACTTTCTACAACATTTAACGTGAAAACTACAACTTTCTACAATTTTTTACAACTTTTCGTTGTTGTAAAGAGTTGTAATTTATAACAAATTTCTACAACATTCAATGAAAATAATTCTACAACATTCTACAACATTTAACGCGAAAACTACAATTTTCTACAGTTTTTTACAACTTTTTGTATTGTTGTAGAGAGTTGTAAAGAGTTGTAATTTATTACAAATTTTTACAACATTTTACAACAATAATTCTACAACATTCTACAACCTTCAACGTGATAACTACAATTTTCTACAAATTTTTACAACTTTTTGTTGTTGTAGAAAGTTGTAACTCAAAACAAATCTCAACAACATTCAACGTAAAACTATAGGTACATCATTTTTTACTTTCTGAAGTTGAAAGGCGTCAGAATATTTTGTCCTGTTGCGATAAATAAAGAATTATAGAGAATTATATTGATAAATAGACGATAATATATTGATATTGAAGCAAGAAGCCTGTAACATATAAGGTTAGCACAAAATATCATTAAATTAGCTAAAAAAGTGCAACAAAGCAGAAAATCCAGAAAAGTCAGTGTTGTCAGCTGACAGAAGTTTCCATTGTCAGTTGATTAATTTCCCAAATTAATAAAAACAAGAAAATATACAGAAAAACGATTGAACAGGGCCTGAAGCATAAGCAGAGAATTCAAGCTAGAAAAGATAATAAGTTCGAGAAATTACGTTTATTTAAAAATTTAAAAATAAATTCAGACGATTTCGAAGAGCTAACTGACCAATCCGATACTAATATGACAACACCAATAGAATTAAAAGATAAAAATATAAAAAGAAAGGCAGACGAAGGCCTGTCTGCAAGCAATAGTATAACTTCTTTAAATGGAAACACCGCTAATGATAAAAACAATCCAGAAAATAATTAACAAAATTTCCAAATCCCAAATAAAACAATTCCTTTTAAGAGAGTGAATAAAGGCAATATTAAGAAACCTAAACTAGTTATAAGTAATAAATATGAAGGTTTAACAATTGAAAATGTAATTCCAAAATTTAATGATCAACCAGAAGCCCAACCCATGGAAAGTAATGATAGTCAGGAAGCTACAACCAGCCAATCTGGAAGAAATGTAATTCTTAACATTCCAGACTCAGCCCGGCCAAAACCCAAAGAAAATCAAACCACCTCCTTTAGTCATTGCTGCAAAATTTGATTCACATAGTGAGGTAATAAAGGGACTTAAAAAATTATCAATGGTAAATTTAATATAACATAATATGTACAATATAATAATATAATATAATATACAAAAAACAATATTGTAGTCAATGTAGACGACACAGGCGACTACAATAGATTGTTGTTAAAGTTAATAATGTTTTCTTATAAATCATTAATTATAAGAAGTATCGCCCACCAAAAAAGCAAATGTTGCGCCACAAAGTAAGTATTTTTAATTTAAGTAATCTTTTCTTTTAAAAAAATAAATTAAAAACACTTAGATTTAGCAAAGTTAAAATAATATAAAATAATAGTTTTAAATTGGACAAGCAACAATTTAAAAAAAAACAATTTAAACAAATTTCGTACGTCTAAAATTTTCTACAAGATATTACGCGGATTGGGACATTATTGTTATATTTCGTAGAAAATTGTTAAAAGTTGTAGCATAGTAATATATTAGTAAACTACAACTTTGAACAATTTTCTACGAAATATAACAATAATGTCCCAATCCGCGTAATATCTTGTAGAAAATTGTAGCAAAAGCTACAACTTTGAACAATTTTCTACGTTATTTAAAATAATGTAGTAGTGTCTTGTAGAAAGTTGTAGAGAATCATTAAATGTTGTAGCAAAGTCGCGTAGAAAGTTGTAGCTTTCGCGTTAAATGTTGTAGAATGTTGTAGAATTATTTCCACCAGGGTAGTGTTGCAAACAAGGAAAAGTTCGGTCGAAAAGTTGGAAAAGCTCGGCACCCCCTATGAAAAGTTGGAAAAGTTATTAGGTGGGAGCCAATGAACAATGAGTTGACTTCTAACCAGTGTTTCCACTACCATAAATTTTTTTCGGTAGATAATTTGGTCAAAATTCGATATAAATCGCTAGATTTGAAGTGTTTTTAGTAAAACGTGCTAAAATCATTGTTTTTTGGAATAACATTCTGTCAAACTTTATCAAAAATGGTGTCTGCTAACAGCATTTTCTATTATATAAAGATTGTTTTATTATAACGTATTTTAGTTGCTAAAATTTATCCAATAAGAATATTTGGGTCACGTATTTTGAATTATATCGTCATAATAAGATAAATATTTAAAATTAATAATAATAATAATAATGTTTATTTATGTTACATACAAACAAGTACTTACACAAGTCAAAATAAGAGAATACAAAATTAAAGTAGAAATTACAATACATGTGGGTAAAAACAAAGTATCGGTATAAATTCAATTTTTGCTAATAAAAACTAATTAAAATTAAAATTAAAATTTAGAAATTCATCCATTGAATAAAACGAATTTTGAATAAGAATTTCTTTTATTTTATTTTTAAAATCTTTGGTCGGAAGACTTCTTAAACTTATCGGAAGATTGTTAAAAAACTTGATTCCCAAAAAATGTGTCCCTGTTTGACATTTTTTTAATCTGTAATATGGCAGTGTTAAATTATTTCTGTGTCTTGTTTGATAGCTATGGGTGTCCGATATTGTAGGATAGTTTTTTTCATTGTTTTTCATATAAAGAAGAGTCTCCAGTATAAAGACTGATGGTAGAGTTAAGATCTTTAATTTTTTAAATTCATGCTTACAATCTGCCTGATAGCTCAGTCCTGCCAATATCCTTACTGCCCTTCTTTGAAGTGCAAAGACGCTACTGGCGTGGGGGGAATGTCCCCAGATTATAATCGCGTAAGTGAGTACAGAGTGCACAAGTGCAAAGTATGCATTTCTCAACACTTCAATGGACACTGATTCATAAAGTCCCCGCAAGACAAAAATACTTCTCTTGATCTTATTACAGATGTAGTTAGCATGGTAATCAAATTTTAGCGCGCTATCTAACTGAATTCCTAGGAATTTTACTACCTCAGCATTTGTTGTGACATGAGATATGTTTTTTAATGTAAATATTATATTTTGTGTTTTGTTTATGTTCAGTGAAAGTTTGTTTGCTTTAAACCATTGCTCCACTCTTGACTGTGTCTCACGTGACTTACCCCTTACAGCGTCTAAGTCCCTATCCGATCTAGAAAAGGACGTGTCGTCTGCAAAAAGAGTAAATGATGCCAATGGATCAACCAAAGGTAAATCATTAATATATATTAAAAAAAGTAAAGGGCCTAGAATAGATCCCTGGGGAACCCCTATTTCTATTACTCTTTCGGCAGACATCACGTCCCCTATTTTCACAGCCTGAATTCTATGTTCCAAATAAGATTTGATTAAGTTTAAACCGTTAATAGAAAATTTATAATTTTTAAGTTTATTTAAAAGAACGTCATGCGTGACACAGTCAAAAGCTTTACTGAGGTCACAAAACACTGTGCTATTAAATTCAAAATTTTCAAACGCGCTTAGAATTTTGGAGATTAATGATAGTATACCAAGAGAAGTATCCCTACCCTGTCTAAAGCCATATTGACAGTCAGTAAAAAGTCCATTATTTTCAAAAAAAGATCTTATTCTGATAGCCATGCATTTCTCAAATATTTTAGAGATGATAGGCAGCAAGGATATTGGTCTGTAATTGGACGGTTCGTTTTGATCCCCAGATTTAAAAATTGGAACCACTATACTTTTTTTTAAGTTCAAAGGAAATATTGACTCTCTAAAACATAGGTTAATCAATTTTGTAAGTGGTATATATATTAGATTTGCAATGGTTTTTATAATCTTTACATTTAGGCCAAAAACGTCAAATGCATTTTTATTTTTAAGTTTAAAGATTATATCCCTTACTTCATTAAA